TGGGGAGATTGGTTCCCTGCTTGCAGTGGGGAGGGGACAGGTTGGGGGATGTGCAGTGAATGGGTCGGGGCGTAACTAGAGAGATGTCCTGAAGCAGGGCTGGTAAGGCATAGTTGATGGGTTTGGAGGGGTGGGCGACACATGCTGGCTCAGGGCTAGTCTACACTGGCAGCACTTTAATATGGCTTGTGTAGTCACGGCAGCTCTCCCAGCGCTCTTAAAAACAAACAAAAACAAAAAACAAAAAAACCCACACCTCCATGAGAGGCTTGGCTCCCAGCGCCGGTGCACGGTCTACATGGGCGCTTTACAGTACTGAAACTTGCTGCGTTCAGGGGGGTGTTTTTTCACCTCCCTGAGTGAGAAAGTTGCAGTGCTGTAAATTGCCAGTGTAGACAAGCCCTAAGTACGCTACTTGCAGGACAAGATAAGTACAACTGCCTAAACGACTGCTAACTCCGAACAACATCATTATCGTCTCCTGGGTTTTTTTTAAACCCTAGAAAATTAAATTGCAAGAAACTACATTAACACAGAGTTAAGGCTGCTTGGTGGTCTATCGTCCCCTTGAAGAACACTGAGTTGAGCAAAACACAAACTTCTGAAAATCAGGAAATGCAGAGTTAAAATGGCCCATGCACCCTTAACTCTGTCCTCTTTCAGCAATACCCCAATCTGCCCTGTTAACACACATACCTTTACTCTGCCAACCCCATCATTGCTGAAATGTACAAGCTCTTCCCCTCCTTCTACAGACCATTCACGCTCACCCACGGGATTCCAGCTAATACTATTAAAGAATTAAAAGGGGTTGGGAAGGAAAATTGCCCATGTCACCTTCCCTTTATCCTCTTTGAGCAGTGCCTCAATATGCACACAGGCACTACTCACACTGGCCCTTGGCACTATAAGATTCAGGAGGGTCCAGAACTTGGCGAACACTCACGTTCATAGCCAACTCCCCAGAAAGAATACCACATATGTACAGCTTAAGAACCACTTCCCAGCCTTTTTCAGCTCCCATACACTTACACGATACCAGCTCAAATCTACACTTCCACTTAACCATTGGAATCCTCTGAGAGTCCATGTCACTGCTGACAATATCCTTGGTAATAAAAGCCCTATGCCCTGCTACCAGCATAGCCTCCACAATTCTGCACTGAAATGATGCATGCTGCGTCCTGAACATGCATCTCTTCCCTTTCCTACCACAGAAGAGGGGGAAACATAAGATCTCCTCACATCACAGGCACAGCTCTGTCACACACCTCAAAGTAATCTACAGATCTACCATTCAGTACAGCTACACCTAACACTGACCACACTCACGCTACCTGGAGTACAGGCAGATAGTAAATGCTCAGACTACTCTCATATCCCAGCTCACTACAGATAATGCCCTTTGTAATAACCCTCTTGGGCCCTCCTTATTATGTGATGTACACAATTCTGCATACTGGAACCTGAAGGTAAACATGCAGCTCTTCCCTTTGCTCACACACACTGGAGGATGCAAAACATAGAGTTCATCATATAATCACAGCTATCACACATGTCGATGCAACCCACACACCCTCATATTGCAAACACGCCTTTACCAAGCAGGCCCAGCTATTGCCTCCACCATTTAGTGTAGATACACCTACTACACTGATTGCACCTGGAGTGTATTCAAATAATTCCTATTGGCTACTATCAGCTCCAGGGGAACACAGAGGAGGTGGCATAGACAACCTAATAGAGTGAGCTGGAATCCTGTGGGTGAGAGTGAATGGGCTGTAAAAAAGGAGGTGAAGAGCTTGTACATTTCAGCAGCTGTGGGTTTGGCAGAGTAAAGGTTCATTTGCTAATGGGGGTGTACTGGGCCCTTGCTGACAGAGGGAAATGCTGTGCACGTCCTGGTTTTCAGAAGTTTGAGTTTTGCTCAACTCAACATGCTGCAAGGGGACAACATACCACCAAGCAACCTGACCTCAGCGTTAACCTAGTTTTTTGCTGCCGGCTCTGTATATACGTGTGCTGTAATACACGCTTCCTGCTAACTGTATATCCAAACTCTTCAAATCCCCAGGCTTTTCTGAACTAAAGCTAGCCACAGCCTATTGGCGTGGGCGGCTTAACCCCCTTCAAAATGAAAATGTTCTTTAAAATAATTCATTCAAAAGAAGAGCATAAGAAAACATCACAGCTTACAAAACAGGTGACACGGGCCTACTAGGAACATTGCTAGTGGAGCAAGGCAAAGTTAAGGTTCCATGAATAGCCTAGCTGTGCATAAGCATGCATTCCAGTGCCTGTTAGGTGGAATATAATTCTACATTTTCTGAGGGTTTTTTTTTTTTTTTTTTTTTAAAAGAAATTTTTTTTTTAAGTTTTTTTCCAAAGTAATTTGTGAGACTTCTGCTCATCCATCTCTCTCGTTTAACACAGGCTTTTGGAGTTTGTCTGGGGGTTTTGTCTGTTTGTTTTTTGCACCTGGGAATTGATTACAGGGCCTAGGCTTTGAGAGGCCAAGAGGTCAATGATGTATTTTTATTATTTATTTCAAAGTCCAGAAAAATTAAATTTGAATGAAAGGGCTCCTGGAAATGTCACTGCTGGGAAGAGTACTGTAAGCAGCCTATTTTTATTCCTGTTTGCTTTGCAGACCCACAGCAGCCCTGACAGACAGAGCTGGATTCTATTCTGATTCTTGGAGCATCAGCTAAACTGTCAACTAAATTTAGACTTTGGCAGTCGTAATTACAGGTAGTGATGTCAGAGGCAGAAATAACACAGCTGCACTTTCAGATCCCAGGTGGAGTTTCTAGAGCTGACAGTTAGAAAAATCATCCTTTTCACTGATAAATTGAGCATATTTGCTTTGGACTCATTGAAAGATTGCTCCCCACGATGTCCACTTTGTAGTTCCTTTTCTGTCTATAACTAGAGAGAAACTGAGTGGGATTGCAGTTAGAGTGAAGAAAAACACATTTGTCATTACATAATATTGGCACTTGAGCACGTCAGGTTCTGCAGATTTACATTACATTTATTTTTTAATTTAAGTTGCTAACCTTGGTTGTGAGAAAAAGCTTCCCAATGTGATCCTACTTCAGGGCTGTCTGAAGTTGCAGAGATAGAACCAGTAGCTTTAGGATAGGCATGGACTATGCCATTGATCTCATTATGGTAACTAGAGGGACATGCTGTCAAGCCTACGGCCAAGATTTACCAAAGTGACATGTGATTTAGGTGCCTCCATTTCTGGGTGCCCAAAATGAGACACTTTAGAGGGGCCTGATTTTACAAAAGTGCCAACCACCCACGCTCTGAAAAATCAGGACCCTTTAAAGGGCACCCAAAACTAGAGGCTCACAAAATTATTAGTCAGTTTTGAACATTTTAATTCCTTCCTTAATATTCAGGTAAAGAACTTATGTCAGATCCATAATGATATTTCAGCTCCTAACATCTATTGAAATCAATGTGGTTGCTCACTCACACCACGTCAGCAAATTCTTACAGCTCTTATAGACATTAGTGCTCGGCTTTGAATCTGTAACAGAACTGCCATTGCTACACACCTACTACTTCAATAATAATTCTCTCTTCAGGCCTCCCATTGGTGTTCAGGGACCCCAGCCTCAATACAAGTCTTACCTTCATACCTTACCTGGGAAACAATGGCCTGCTTTTAAAAGCAGAATACTCCTGGGCTTGAATCGCCACATGATTAACTCCCTGTCTGAGTGTGTGGAATGAAAACTGAGGCCAGGTGACTCCTATGGTTTGGGATTTCACAGCCAACATTCTACCAAGCCCTTCTAGGAACTAGAGACGGTTGCAGACATGAATGTGGGGTTTATTCATCCCCTGTTCCACCCTGCACTTAGGAAAATTCAGATCCCAGCTTCACAACTCGGGCCTGTCTCTGTACTGGAGCCTGCAGCAGAGACTTTGCTAAGGACATGGTCTGAATGCACCTGCCCTGAATATTCTGTTTGGGGTGCCGAAAGAGATGATGGGGATTCTCTGATCCTAACAAGAGGATGGCCAGGAAGTTATTACTAGTCACAATCACGACATGCTTTCTGGGAAGTGAGAGAACGTGCAGCCATTTCAAAAGGCAGGAGAAAGCATGCGTGAACACCACCTTAAAGACCACTAGCATTTTTCATTGGTAACTGTTGAAAATGCCCATGACCTGTAGGTGGCAGTATTTGCTCTGCTGTTCAGTTCACTAGGGAAACATTCTTATATAGTGCCTTGCCTAAAGTATTTTATTAAAGCTAATGTTAAAATTATATAATACACAGGTTGAAAAAAGTGTGTCTGTACATCTGGGTATAGTGCTTGGATTGTCCACAAAGTTGTTTTTTAAAGGTCATATGGTACATATAGAACATAATCAGCAATAACCCAAATTTAGGTGAATAAAGTTAAGAATACAGTTTAGATATTAGCATCCAAGTGTTCGGGTACATCACTCATGAAAAGCTGTACTGGGATTTTACAAACCACACAGCCAGTACAGCTGAAATGCCGCCACCTCTGGGTGAAACGCAGCAAAGCTCAACCCAGCTTCCTTGTTGAGGCGTCACTGCCTTTGAGTGATCCTGGGCTGATTCAAGGGGCTGCTTTTGTCCAAGTTTCACTTTGAGCTCCTGGGTGTGAAAGTGACGCAGGGCCGCCGGGGGGGGGGGGGGGCAAGTGGGGCAATTTGCCCCAGGCCCCACAGGGGCCCCCACGCGAATATAGTATTCTATAGTATTGCAACTTTTTTTTATGGAAGGGGCCCCCAAAATTGCTTTGCCCCAGGCCCCCTGAATCCTCTGGGCAGCCCTGAAGTGACGTGTGGGGCTCACCCCATGTGGACCAGACTTAACTAAGGATTGGCGTGGACCACTGTGAACAGAAACTGCCCATTTCCCAGGGCTCTGCTTAGGCAACTGTCAGGGTGAGATGCAGAGGAAGGGGATGAACTCTAGAAATTAAAGCTCCACAAGACTCCAAAGCAACGTTTATCTATTTTATTACAAAACCAAAACCAACCAGCTGTCTTTCAGTCTAATGAACAATGCTGTCAACAGAACTGCTGCGGGAGACAATACCAAATTTACTTCACTGGTGATCTTCCCCCTCCAACAGGACCAGTGCTGGATGTAGACTTACTCTGTAGGGCCCTTGGCCTCTTCTTTGTCCTGGCTGTTTTCAGCACTCACGCAGAGAAGCCATGAACATATTCAGAAGGATTCACAAGGGTGGGTGAGACATGCACAAAGTTCTGCTTTCGTGTACACCGGTGTGACCGATGGACTTCAGTGGTGTAAATGAGAACAGCATTTGGCCTGCTACTGCTGGGGAAGGATGTGCTCGGCTCTACCTCCCAACAGATGGGGTGGCACTCAGTTCTCTGGTGGGAACTGTAGCACTGCTGCAGGAGGATTTGCTGCTAACATTTCTAGTTTCAGTTCTGGGAGAACTGTCAGAGAGCTGCAGCCACTGTGCAGTTTTGATATGGACAACTGAATGACTGATTTATGCCACAGGGCCAGGATAGTCTGTGTGACTGTCCAACACACAAAAAGCTAGACCACATTTATGCTGTAATTATGGTCCAGCTGCACAGAATAACTCAGAGTCTCATGCACAAACAGTAATGTGAGGCACAAAGCATGAGAGAAACTGCTCGGGACCCTATGTAAACCCAGCAACTCATTCTCCAGCGGGAATGGAAGGGGAGGCAGTGTACTGCTCGATTCCCATTCCATCAGCAGAACCAGGCCAGAAGGCAACCCCCTGGCAGATTTCACCTAGGACCCCACAGGTTTTGAGACTGGCCCTACAAGCAGATAATAGCTTGGCTTCCTTGAAGAGGCGCCCAGACTATTAACTTGCAGACAGTGGGTGTGGTATGTTTCTTAAGCATCCTTTAGAGAGAAGGGAGGCAGGGCTGACAGCAGGACAAAGGTTGCAGAAGGGTTTACATGGCAATAGGCAATATGAGCTCACTGACTTAAAGTTTCCAGCAGAAAAGATGCAATGAGTCTTAGAGTGTCAGCCCCCAAGGCTGGATTTAGGGGGGTTTACTGCCCTGAGCGAACAGGCAGAGACCACCTCTACCAGCCCACTTCTGCTGCTGAAGATTTGCTGCTCTCAGAGACCATACGAGAGAGCCCACTCTGGCATCCAACCTTCTGCTTGTGCTGCCTGTGACTAAGTGAAAACAGCAGCCAGTGCTTAGCATTCCTAAAACTAGTATACAAAGAAAAGGAGTTTTTACAAAGTTGGGTTCATTCTTCACTCCCACAACAGGATTAGAGGAGGAAACTGACATTTCTCATTATACACTAAACCAAATCGTTTCAACGCACACATACCCCCTGCCCCAAAGTATAAAAAGGAAAAGCCAGAAGAGCACATACAATGTATGTAATTTACAATGAGAAGCCAGCAGCGGGTGCTGCTGTTCACTAAAGACAACCGTTCTTCTTTATGGTGGGTTTGTGAGATTTGTGCTTCAGGGAGACACTTGTCATGAGTTTGTGGTTGTTGATTTTTTTAACCCAGACCAAACACTTTAACCCAGCTTCAATCCTGCTCTCATCCAGAAGGTCCCAAGCTCTGGAATCCAATGAGCAATTTATTTTTGCAATCGAGCCCTGCCCCCTCTGAATATTTAATTAGTGAACAGTGTGGTGTGAGCTTGCTGTGTTGTGATGCACGTTCAGCACACACACTGTTGTCACCAAGCGATGTAACAGCAGCACCCTGTGAGTGTGCTACGTCACAACACCATGTCGCAAAGCCACGCAGCCCAGCATGATGCAAGGCCTCTCTGCCACGATGCAATGCTGCTGTGAAGCAATGTTCTGGGGTCACCCTACAACAGCATGGCACGATGCCTGGCACTAGCAGCAGTATCCATTTCAGGACACCTCCATGGTATTGCACGTATAGCTTTGCCACCGTCCAAATAAGGATTAGTTTCAAACCCAGATCACACGAACACTGTACAAATTGGTGCCTGGCTACCATTTCTCATTAGCCTGAGAGTAGATTACACATTGCGTGTGTACAAGTGAGAAAGAGAGTGAATCCCATTCAGCACATTATATGCAATAACACAGCAGCCCCGTTGCGAGCAAAACAGCCAAAGTACATGGATAACAATGTCACCAGAGAGCTGCTCCCCCTACTGCAGCAGAATGCAGACAGCAGGTAGTAGGGAGTTGCCAGTTTCAGTTGGATGAATTCCTGGAGGTTTCATCACATGACAATCTTTAATTAAAGATCAATCTTTAATTCCTGGAGACTCCAGGACAATCCTGGAGGGTTGGCAACCCTAGTTTAGATAGAGAATGCGTGTACGAAAGCGGAGTACAAAGGTTGCAGTCCAAATCGGAGTGGCAGGAGAGCGTGACGTGTCTGACATCTGAGAGGCTGTTGTAAATAATGCCCTCCCCAGAACGTGCACATGGTCAAACAGGCTAGAGATGCACAAAGCAGGAATGTACTGCTGCTTCCCATCATGCTCCATGTACCCCACGGTCTAATGCACAGACCTGGCTGATTCTGTCCCTCCACAGATTTTACAAGTGTGTCTAACTGAGACGAACAAGACACTAACTTTGGCCAAGGCACCACCAGCTGAAACGGTCGCTGTGATCTCTGAACGCAGCAGCCTGTTCAAGCTGAGCCATTGCCACGGCTTTAAGAGTGTGTGTCCTTACGGCTGACACTAGAGACATCAGAACATAGAGATTCCTGGGAGGTGGGAACTGTGATAGTTCACACTACTGCATGGGAAGATAGTCCCACACAGCAAGCACAGGAACCCGTGGTACGAGCAGCTATTGTTCAGGTTGTAATGAACAGTGCCTTCCTAATGAGCCTGGGCTAAAACGACAGAGATGAAACTAGACTCCTAGAGACAGGCCTCCTGCTGTATCTTTCGCTGTTGACATATGTGCTCTCATCTCTCCCCTGTAGCACTAAGCAGACTGCAGGGGGCTTCTGGAGCATAGCAGAGCTACATCATGCTTTCTCCTCTGTATTATTCTTATATATGAATAGAGGGTATTTCTATGATCACTTTGTGATACGTGAAGATGCAGGATTTCTGTGCCTTCCCTGTTCTCCACTGGCACTACTGGGGCCTATACCGAGTCTCCCTACTGTTGGCACTCCTCCTTGTGCCCTTGGTGCCACTAGATGTCCAAGATATGGCATCTGCTCTACATGTTTTCCTTGTCTGATGGCAACAGGTTTGTTGTTCACCACTACCCAATCTGCAGCCGCTGCTGGAGCTATCTTTGTGCCTCCCGTGGTTCAGGTTTGAACTTCGCACCCATTCCTGCTCGTTTATCTGCAGTTCGTTGATGGAAAGGAGCGCTGCTCTCCCAAAGGCCCAGTCCTGCACACCGCAATGGGCCCTCAACTCCAGTGGCAGATGGGTGTATTCAGTAACTCCCAAGAAACAGCTGGCCTACTGCACGACTGGGACCCCCAGTGCACATCTGTGAGCACAAGCTGTGGCAATACACTTGCTTTTATGCACACGGAGGTGCTAGAGAGAGCAATTTGTGGCCAGAGGATGGATCGGTTGCAGACATCACTGCATTACTGGATTCCAGAAGTCAAGGTGTCCCTTTAACCCTAACAGCCTATGAAATTGAGGGGAGGGACCAAACAGTGACTCCAACCCCTGTACAAGACAACTGTACAATTTACATATATATTTATATACAGTATATAAAAATCTCTTTCTTCTTGAGTCCCTGTGAACTCAGAAACTTAAGTTGTCAGTAGCCGTCCAAAGGTTTTTTTTTTTTTTTAAGTCATGCTCTCGTTCCCCCTCCCCCAAAGTATTAGATAATGGCATTAAAGAAAACAAAAAAAACCAAACCAATCATTAAAAAAAGTGCAAATGTTCTGGGTGCCACTTCTGCTACGCTGGATGTTGCCAATGCCACATGGCAGCAGGGTGTCAGTCTGTCCATCCTTCGGGTGGCCTCCTGTCTTCTATTCATATCTGCTCCTAGACCAGGCGTCCTACTGAAGGCGGTGAGTCAGGCAGAATATTGGTGGGGGGAGGCGAGAGAGGAAAACCAAAATTAAAACCAAAATTGCAGCCAGCCAGTGTAAGCGTGCTGTACAGCCTCTCCGTGACAGAAAAGGCTTCTGGAGGGCAACGATTTCATAGTAAGCTGCAAAGCTGACAAGGACTAGGACTTAATGAGCAATAGCCTTGTGGAAGAGGCAGCATTGGATGAGTCACATATACAGCCTTAGGCATGGGTGTATTTTTGAACACAAACCATGGCTGTTCATTCCCTCCTGGGGAATGGGTGAATAGTCTGGGCAAAACCCCCACGCCCTCTCTTCTACTTAAGGCCCAATCTTGTCCCCACTGAAGAGCAGAACTCCTACTGATTCTAGTGAGAGTCAGATGGAGCTCTCTCTGCACTACCAGCGTGAATCATCTCAAAGCGTGGCCAGCTGGGTTCCTTTCCCATCAAGCAGGCAGGTCTGCGAAGAATTCAATCGCTAGTCAAAGTAGCCTTTCCCCAGCCCTCCAGCCGCAGGACCCAGAAACCTCTCTGCTAACCCCCCGTAGTGGCATTCCTAGACAACATCCTCCAAAGCCCACTGTGCTGCTAAAGCCCCGGCTCCAAAGCTAATGCTGGGGTTTTAGGAAACCCAGCAAACTTGGAGTGTGGATTCACTGGAAGTTGAGGGATTCAATACTTGAAAAGCCCCAGAGCTCTTTTAAGATCTGGGGGAGCCATAGCAGTGAGGGAGCCACAGCAGTGAGGGAGCAATGGGGTTGCTTAGCTGGTTGTATTGAGGTTCGCATCCGTTCCTGTTATGAAAGGCCTGAGGCTACAAACTGCTGCCCCATGGTTCTAGTAGTAACCCTTCTGAGATTAGAAATCCCACACAGAGGAGCACAAAGCAAGGCCAAGAGCTACTGGAAGCAAAGCTGCAAGTTTCACTAATGCACTGGCCTTCACTGAACTGGAAATGAGCGAGAGACAATGTATCCTTGTACTTTAATGGAGTTACACATTTTGCCCTGCAGTACATCTCCTCTTATGGCTTCTCCTGTCCTGTTAGCCAAGACTGGCATATAAATGGTGTTCACATTACTGGCCCTTGCTAGCCCACTGGACCAGGTTGTGGCTGGCCCTTGCGTGGATACAGAAAGGGTTTATAGCAGGAAGGAGGCAGAACTATGGCTCTGCCCCCTTCTGTACTGGCTGGCAGAACTGGCCGGTCATGGAGAGGAGTTTCACTCTCCTATAATGGTGGCTTAATGGCCATGTTCCACATATGCAACAGGGAGCTCAGGGAGGACTGAAAATTGCCATTTTTACCTGAAGGCAAAGGGGAATGTTCCTGCAAAGTCTGAACTAAATCCATTTGATAATCTGAGCTGTAGTTCATTAGAAAACTGCCCTGGTCTGAAATTTTGACTTGCCTAATGCTTTGTCAAATACGGGTTCTATTCTAAAATAAAATAGTTAAAATATTTTAACAAAAATTCTTCTGTTAATTGATCGATGTTCTAAGGGCTACAGTTACATGGGAAATATTAAGATACGAGAGTCAAGATAACACCACATAAGAAATGCAATAATCCATGGGTGAGAGTTACAGGTTGTTCCATTATTTTCATAGATTGAGATTTTAAAGCCAGAAGGGACCATTTCATCCCCTAGTTGGACCTCCTGTATATCACAGGCCATTACATATCATCCAGTACCCCGTACTGAGCCCAATAAGTTGTGTCTGGCTAAAGCATGCCTTCCCAAAAGGCACCCAATTCTTGACTTGAAGACATCAAGAGCCAGAGAATCTACCATTTCCCTTGGTAGTTTGTTCCAAGGGTTAATCACCCCATTGTTCAAAACGTGAGCCTAATTTTTGAGTTTGTCTGGCTTCAGCTTCCAGACACTGGTTCTTGTTATGCTTTTCCCCACTTGATTAAAGAGCCCTTTAGTACTCAGTATTTTTGCCCCGTGAAAGTACCTGTACACTGTAATCAAGTCACCTCTGAATCTTTTTGCGAAGCTAAACAGAGAGAGCTCTAAGTCTCTCATTGGAAGGTATTTTCTCCAGCCCTCAAATCATTTTTGTGGCTCTTTTCTACAACCTCTCCATTTTTTCACCATTCTTTTTTAAATGTTGTGCAGTATTTCAGTCTTGGTCTCACCAATGCTGCAAACAAAGGTAAAATCACCTCCATACCCCTAATCACTACTCCCCTGTTTATACATGTAAGGCTCACGTTAGCCCTTTTTTGTCACAGTTTATGTCGAGTTGTTTGTTCTCTCCAGAGGTGAAAGTAAGCCGGTACACCCCGGTACGGGGTACCGGCAAGCGCCGGTGCGTCGTACCGGGGTGGCCCGGCTTCCTCAGGCGGCAATTTAAAGGGCCTGGGGCTCCCAGCAGCAGCTGGAGCCCCAGGCCCTTTAAATTGCTGCCAGAGCCCCACTGCCGGAGCCCTGGGGTAGCAGCAGCGGGGCCCTGGGGGCTATTTAAAGGGCCGGGGCTCCCTCTGCCTCTACTACCCTGGGCCCTTTAAATAGTCGCCGGAGCCCCGCCACTGCTACCCCAGGGCTCTGGGGGTTATTTAAAGGGTCGGGGCGGTAGAAGCAGGGGAGTCCTGGGCCCTTTAAATAG